AAACTCTACTGTCACTAGAAATTTCTGTAACCTAATAGACTACCGCCTATGCCCCAATGAATTATTCTTCCAACAGTTCCGCTAGTGGCTCTACCCCTTTGATACCTCTCTTTAATCGGAATCGAATTCAGAACAGCAACTAAGCAGGTCGACAAGGCTCCCACGTACTTAGCTACGTTGAACTACCCGGAATCTGTTTGTGACACAAAATAGGACTGAAATAGTTGATTCTTCTGTCGTCCTTCCGCAACCTTGTCGAAATCCAACTTGAACAATTCAAATCGAACATAGAATTTTAGGGTGAAGGTGAGGTGGAGAAATATGATAGGAATTTTACTAGCTAAAATAATATGCAGAAATTAAAAGAAAAAATGAGGAGAAAATCAGTTTGCTCGCGATACAAAACCAAAAATCTCGTATTATTAAACTAGATAAAAATATGGGAGAAAAGAAATTGAGAAAATGGAGTGTATGGAATGTATATTATTGTGTATATACGTTGTATATGTGTGTATATGGTACAATTAGAGGGGATATTTGTAAGGGGAAAAGCTTCTAGAAGTTTGGCGGTTACAACCACCAATAAATAACTACTCCTAAAAATAGCTACTAACTATCTCTAAAAATAACCATAAATAACTAACTGTAAAAATAGCTACTAATATAACTACTAATAACTATCTATTTTCTAGAATATTTTAGAATAAAAATTATACAAAAATAGCCAAAAAATTGGCTAAAAAGTAGTGCATTATTTAATTAAGGGAGGTGGGAGAGTGTAATAAATGCAGGAGCTGGAAGACATAAATGCAGCGAAATTCTGTGCATGAATTATTGTGCGGCGCAGTAAATGCACCGCTGACCAGCGGCAATTAATACAGTCGCCGCTGACCAGCGATAATAATTGCAACCGGCGCTTGCTTTCCGCGCTCATAAATGCAGCCGCCGCTCGCCTTCCGCGCTCTCGCACTCCTATATAGCCGCCGCTCACGGAGTCCGCACCGGCCGCCGCTTGATTCCGCGCTCGCTCGCTTTCCGCTCAGCCACTGCTTAAATTCCGCGCCCGCTCACTTTGTACAGCCGCCGCTCACTTTCAGCACCAGCCGCCGTTTAATTCCGCGCTCGCTTGCTTTCCACGCGGCCGCCGCTTGAATTCCGCGCAGCGGTTGACTTTGACTTTTGTACGTTGACTTTCCTATGTTGATCGTTGACTTTCCTATGTTGATCGTTGACTTTTGTTGACTTTCGTGCCGGTGACTCTTTTTGGCTTCTGAAGCCATTTTTTCGCTTTTTAAGACCAGTTTTGAACTTTCATATCAGTTTTCAAACATTATTTCACATATATGAATAATAAACACCTTATAAATATTTATTTAAATAAATAATACTTATTAAATTAAATTAATTTAGCCAAAAATAAATACTTAAATAGCACATAAATAATGTCTAAAAATATAATTCAAGAAACACATCAATTAATTTAATTTATTTATAAATTACACCTAAAAACTAATAACTTAATATTATACACACAAGATGAAATAAATACAATTATTAGAGTAAATTAACATAAATAATACCAAAATTCGACATAAATAAATAATTAAATAAATAAATATAAGCTATAAAATATGACAAAATCAAGAGTTATCAGGGTTTCTTAGAGGTGATTGAAGGATTAAAGTGAAGTTTTATATTTAAAAAGTCGAGTTAAAATTGTTACAACTGTTGATGCAGATTTTTTCAACAATAAAAAGTAAAATTCGGAAATAGGAATTATCTTCGAATTTGATAAAATAAATGCCTGAGATTAAGAATCCCTAAGCACCGTACGATATATAAGTAAACTAGAAAAATAAATACTACAGACTGAAAAAAAATAAAAATGGTGATCCCCTAAAGAAATTCACTGAATTTGATGTTGATTGAAGATGGTTTCTGTAGGTCATGGACAGACCTATTTAAAAACCTATGTCAACCGCCACAACCAGGTCGTGCCTTCATATCCGCTTGCTGGTTGTAACTTCTCTCAACTGTCCTACAGCAACCGCCGTCAACGGCCCTCAAGGTCCTCCTCTGTCGACACGTGTCTTAACCGACTCACCAACCGCTCACACCTGTTACAGCACTCAACTGGCTCGGCCGACCGCCTCTAAACACCTTACCGCCTTAATTGGGCGGCTGGCCCAACCTGCATATCCACTGCGATCTCTCTTTTCGTCCGCCTTACGCTTTGCCCGACCTTTGTATCAGCCATCTCATTTTTCTCCTGACTTCCTTTTGCCCGACCTCAATATCGGCCGTTTCATCTTTCTTCGTCCGTCTTCCTTTTGCCCGACCTATATGCCACCCGACCTGAGTGCATATTGTCTTCCCTTTTTCGTCCGACCTCTCCTTGTCCGACCTTTTAATCACAGGTTACTCCCGAAAAACCCATGTCTTAATAACACTTGGGCCGTTTGGCTTATATTCAAACCCATTTAGGATCTCACTGCCATTAACAGGCCCATTAGACTTTATACCAATCCTTAGTCCAATTTTATAAGCCCATTCTCGAAAACCCTACACATTGGTTTTTTCTTGCTCAACAAATTGTCTCCTCCCGCCCGACTCCTAAGCGTCACTTCTCGGACTGTGTGAGACGTGACGTTTAGGGGTTTGCAGCACAGTACTATCATTACACTGTTTCGTGTCGCATCGTGGGGTTTATGTAAAACCACTCTCTCACCCTTTCACACTTACGCACTCAAAATCTTGAAACCCTTCTCTTCTCTTTAGCAATCATCCTCTTCCAAAACCTTTTCTCCTTCATTCTCTTTATTTCCTCTGAAAATGGCCAATCAATATATATTCCTGCTCTCCCTTATGACGGAACCGATCCCTCGGTGTCCTTTGTGGCTTCGAAGGTTCTCACCCCCACCGTTCGGCCTCATTGCATCACCAGAGAGGATGCAAATCGCATGAAATCTGTTATCTCCCAAGTTTCCCCGATAATCATCAATGATGCTGCGTTTAAGCCGGAACGTTTGCTGGACAGCATTAGGACTCACCTTACCGATGCTAAAGACGCCTTTCGCAAATGGCATGCAAGACTCCTCCCTCACTTTGAAGAACAATGGAGGAGGCAAGGTATTGACAAAGCCATCCTCCTTTCGACTCAGCCAATTCATCTTCACGACAAGGCCTTACTAGCAATGGCGGCCTTCTGGCATTCTTAGATAGGCGTCTTCTTCCTCCCGGCTGGCCCGACCCTGATGGACGTGGCCATCATTGCCCGTTTGCCTATAGTGGGTGATGATACCGTTCTGGTTTCTTTTTAGGGTCGGGAGCCTTCACCCAACCACACTGGTTGGGCCCTCGCTAAACTCCCTGAAAATGAGAGGAGCTGGACCAGTTTTGTTACCAGATTCTTGGGTGTAGAGGGCACCCCTGTATTTGAGCTGGAACACACAGTGTTCCTTTTTTTTTGGTTGTGTAGGTACATTTTCTATTCCTTATGCTTTTATGTAAATTCAAAGTTGGATATTTAGTTGGTTTTTTTATTTCTTTACAGATATATCATTCTTTCCCCCTCCAAACTCATCCTTTCTTCCCAGGTCGACCTGGCCAGCGGCCAATTTTTTCGTTAGAAACTCTATTTTTGGCTAACCTTTTTGAGGGGTTAACCCGAGTGAGCACCCGCCTGACCGATACCAAGAAGACGGACATAGCTGCTTCGGGACCATTTTGGTCCCTAGAGCTGTGGCTTCGCCTTTACTTTCCGACCACCTTTTTCAGCCAACTTCCTATAACCCCGAACCCCCAAAGATCTATAGGTTATGCCTTGGCCAGATTAACTCCTAGTTCCTCTAGTCTCCATCCATCCGACCCCGTCATCATTCAAATTTTGACCGAAGACCGTACCAACTCCCGCTTCTATGTATATGAAACCCTTGTACAATATTCTACTGATCTTATTTGGCTTTCCCCCGACACACTTGATCCTCAATCGCATCCCAATCCTCTTCCCCATCTAACCTATCCCTTTTCTTTAGACTCCGCCATGAAACCCCGATCTCTGTTTTCCAGTAAGAGGTCGGACAAGAAAAATCATAGATTAGATATACTCCCTCCGTCCCATAACAAAGTATCCATTTTTCCATTTTAGTCCGTCCCATAACAAAGTATCCATTTCTTTTTTTAGTAACTGTACTATCTACCTAATATTACAAATGCTTTTACAACTTACAATATATTACACAAATATCATTACATTTATATCACACATACTAATAAAGTTATTTTAGTCATTTCTACTTTATTCATACTATATTCCAATATAATACTAATATTTCTAAAACTACGTGCAAAAAGCAAATGGATATTTACTTTCGAGACAAATAGAGTATTAAAATTTAATTTTATCTCATAATTTATTTTTTTTACAATTATTCAATTGAATTCTAATTCTAATAAACTCTAACTACAATTTTCTAAAATTAATCTAAAATCCAATTCTAATTATAATAAATTCTAATTTAATTTTTCTAAATTTAATTTTAGATTCTTTGCATTTATAATTTATAGTTATTTATTATTTGAAAGATTGATTTTATAATATATATGACAAATTAAACTAGACAATTACCCAATATCCCCTACAAAACAATTTCAATTTTGTAACAAGATTTTTTCGTTGTTAAATCCACTTTTTTCGTTACTAAAGATATTAGAGACGAAATTTGAGATGGAATTACGTTAGCTACGTGAACTTTAGTAACGGAATTCCATTACAAATATCCTTTTTTTTTTTTTTTTTTTTTTTTTGTAGTGATCAACCAAAAACAAAAAATAATTATTTGTTTATTTATTTATAGGGCCTATTATTTATTTTTGTTTAATAAGGCCTATCATTTATTTTACTTATTTTTATTTATAGGGCCTATCAATTATTTTTGTACGAAAGCCTTAAAAAAAAAAAATCGAAACGGCCCTACCTAAACCCTCGTTAGTAATGAGTATATAAATGAATAAATTTTAGTTTGTTCGAACCTTGCGGGCTAAGGCAGGCAGTCGCTAGTTTTTGAATTTTCTTCTCCTCGCCGCCCTCTCTCTCGTATCCGCTGGCTATTTCGAACCGCCGTAAACCTCCTTTTCGATTCTGTATTTGTTTCGTTTTTAGCGTACCAATCATTTGATTACTTGCAGACGTCTATGGTCTGACTCAGTTGTTTCGAATGAATTTTGTGTTTAAAATTGATTAATGCACTTTTTTTATAAGCTGTTCTTTATTGGTGATGTATGTGATTTTGGATGTACTTAACACTGCTTGTTTGGATTTGCACTTCGCATATTATCATCCAGTAATTTAGTAATTTCCCAAATTTAAAAATGGAGTTTATTGTTTTCACCAGATCGTATGGTATAAACAATAGGGTGAAATTTGTGTTAGTAAAATTATGAATCAAATAGTGACCTCTGTAACCCAATCACCTATCCCTCTGTATAGGACTTAGAAGAATAGCATTCCCATTGTAGCTAGCTATTGCCTTAATAGAGGATAGAGAGATGGGCATAATAAAGGTAGAAGAGAAACTCAGTAGAAGACTTCCATAACTTCAATTGATATCAACTTTGAGGCTTGAAGTATATTGTATTACGTCTTTAAATGATAAATCTTGTAGTACATGAGTTATAACCTATAAATCCTATATTCGGTACGAACTTCTATATATCTTGTTGAAGCTGCACTACTTAAATGTTTATATAGGCGGAAATCTAGGTTCTTCACTGTTTTATACCTTTTATGGCTTTCATTAAGAGATTCCCCGTCTTAGTTCTTACACATTAAAAATCTCTCCGTCTAAGTAAAAAGGTAGTTTATTAATAGATATGAGAATTAAAAATAATAATAATAATACATTTGAGATATGTTCATACACATTGAATTTCTAGTATTAGTTTCAGTTCTTTTCAGTTGCATATTAATCATTTGTTTTTATTTATTGAACCTTGTAATTAGAGGTTATTAATTCATAGATTGGTTTTCTTCATTGGTGTTTTTTTGGGGAAGTCTTAAGCCCATTTTGTAGCCGGTATTTTGCACTTTATTTCTTACTAATGCTTTAGTAAAAGCAGTAACTAAATTCCACCAAACTCTTTGACAACAATACCCTGATATGATTATTCCTTAAACTTATATTTCTAAAAGTTCCATTCTATACCTTACTATATGGTCATAATATTTTTGGTTTCACTAACACAACACTTTGTCAAACATTCATAGGTTGTCGCCGCCCGCAACTCTATATCCATTAATAAGTTTATCCAGTTTGTTTCTTTGGCAGAATTATATAAGGCAGTGGATTAAGATTCTGTATTTGTGTGTGCTATACAAGCTTGTATTTTGGGTGCCAGCCACCCCACCTAAAGCGAGACCATCCAGATGTTAGACTTGTCTGCAACACTAGTGAGTCAACTAGTGTCTCTGTAACCTTCTGTAACTATTGGATAGTGGATAAAAACAGTTCAAAATCCACAGTTCTTGTAAGATAACCAAGTATCTATCCAAAGTCCATATTAAGGTCTGCTTGTTAACCTGGATAATTTGCATAATTCAAATACAATATTTGGTCTAGTGTAATGCCCATAGTTGTCGCTAATAGCGGTTTAACATCCCGGTCGGCTCAAACCAAATTCCCTTCGATGGATCATATGACGTGGATGCATAATTTAGGTATAATGGAAGCACCATCACGTACAAACATTTGTAAAAAGGGGGTCAACACAATTGTTAAGTAAGCGCAATTAATTAAAGTAAAATTAATACTTTGTAAGTCATGATTCACGTGTAAATGACACAAAATCATTGGAAGAAGATAATTTGAATTAAAATATCACATATCACATAAAGATAACTCTCACACACAAGTCTTTTAATGTCTCCCTTATATCTCCTTTTAATGGTGTTGAACACCTTACGAAAAAAGTTCACTAGGCCTTAATAAGGGCAGGTTTGACCCGGTTTTCCAACCTTATTACTTCGTATGACACGCCACATAATTACACATAGCAAACATAGGGTCACAACCCTAAAAAAAAAAAAAAAAAAAAGCCTCCACAATATGTACATAAGGGTTCAAAGCCCAAAGTACATGTAAGTCAATTTATTTATTAGTTGCGAGGGACGCCAAACAGCCCACAACCCTCTAGTGTCCAATATAACATACCAAGAGGGGATTGTACGAAATTCATCCTTCCATCACGGATGACGGTGTAAAAACCTTTTCATCTTGAATGACGGGCACTTCGGAATTACCTAAAAAAGGAATCCGCCATCTCGATCTCTCGACCTAGCTCATTCGGGTTCTAGTTTGAAGTTAGCTAGTTATCCTAAAATACCGGTATACCCTCACATGTTTGGAAGGCACGGAGATAGAAGACTATGCCTTATCATAATCTAACCCCAAGAATCGCAATATTTAAAAATAATCACAAATCCTTTCCTAAAAATCATAATTAGGTCAGGGCAAAACTAGGGTTTCTAACCCGTTTCACAAATCATTAATTTTCGTACTTGAGTTACCATAAAAATTTCCCTATAAACCCTAAATATCATGCTAATAAACTTCCTAAGGGAAGATGGAAAAATCCAAGGTTTTAGAAATCCATTTAAAAGTAATTTCAAAGAAACCACTAACAATCAACAAATAGGTTTAGAAACGATAAAATATCAATTATCTAAGGTTAATCCTCCTTACCTTAAAGAGAAGCGACCGAAGGGGAGAGTTTTGGAGAAGAAAACCTCCAAGGAAGAAGAGGAAGATGCTTGCCGGCGGCTGACTGGAGGGAGGAGAAACACACTGCTGCCTTACATGGGCTTACGTATTATATATATATTTTTTTATTTCTTTTGACCCAACTTTGGCCCAAACACCCAAACATCATTAATTTTAATCCAATATCATCATTCTTTACACTAAAAGTCCAAAATAACTTAAACTTCAAAATAAAATTGTCCTATACCGACAATTATTTTACGGGGTATTATAAGCGGAGTGGCAGTTGAGACATACAATGCATTACGGACATATGATCATTACGCTTTAACCAGGTTATTCTATTCCACCTCTTCAGCGGATCTGCAGGGCCCCAAATGAATTGGCTTCCGCTACAACCACTATGTGATGCCGCCTTTACGCAATAGTGGCCCTAGTTTCGTTTAGCATTGATGCGGTGCGGAGTGATATAAGCTCTATGTTTGTTTATGCATTTACATTATACTTTAGTTTAATCAATTCATTAGTCATTTATACAAGAACTTGCTATTCACTTTAAGAAGCAAAAAAGAAAGCTATAGATATTTCTAGCTCCAGAAAAAGAAATAACATTATAAAAGGAAATGACATTATAAAAGGTGATGGACATACAAAGAAAGAGATGAATGAAGATGTACATAAGGACATATGTATACAATAGGAGCGGTATTGAAGAGGAGGAATATCTATACAAGAGTAAGAGTGAGGAAGGTGAAAATGAGGAGAAAAATAATCTATCATATTTTGAATTTGATTCACTATATATCAAATTAGTAGTGATCTATTGTTTTTGCTTATTAACTATTTATCCATTATGATCATATCTTTTTTTCATTTTTTTTTTTTTAGATATTTTATTAGTTTGAATGATAATTATGAAATTATATTATAAGTATATTTTTAAAGTTTTAATAAAATCTAATATAATTTCTGATTTTGTTCTTTTCAGTATTTTATTTCTGGTATCTACTTCATTTAAGTTTTTAAGTTTGAAACTGAGCTAAGATATCTATCGATTTCCTTAATACCTTTCTTGTTTGTGCTTATTATTAGCTTGTCATCGACGTAGAGACCAATAATCATTCCTTAGTCTTTATTAAATTTGGACTACATACATTCTTTTATTATTTTGTTTGAAAATATGTGATAATATAATGGAACCAATCTTTTTCCTGCTATTATTTTGGTTTGAAACTTTATTTAGTCTACCATACAATGATCACTAACTCGCAAACTTTGTTCTTGTTTTTGAGAAGGATCAGGATAAATTGTTGATATCTTAGTGAAAAGATCCCTGACTTGTTTTATGGCATGTTTAGATACTGTGCAATTACTTTTGCACTCTATAGCAGTATTATATGCGTTAAAATTTCCTCTTCCATCGTTCGTAGTATTGAGAGCATCAACGAAAACAAAACATGAGCTATACACTACCATGTTGGTGAGGTTGTAAGGCTTGTATAATTTTGTTGTGTTTTGGTTGACTACCATGTAGATAAATAAATATATGATGCGTGTCTCGTCAAGCTTAAATTTTTAGGCTAGACGATCATTCTAGATCATCTAACATTGTGGACTATCACTTTTCCTTGGATTTGAAAGTTGAGTGATGGGATATGACCATGCACAAAATATTAGGAAAGCCAACATTTGAAAGTTTATAATGTGTGGGGATGGGGATGAGTTGTGAAATTATTAGGTGGAAAGTGATAGGTAAACAAAAGAAATACATCTAAGAGGGCATAGATATGTGTGGGAGATCTAGAGATGCCCCAGTAGAACTTGCAGAAAATAGACTGTAGATACATGTGGGTTCCTAATTCCTATAGCAAAGAAAGGAAGATGATGTAAAAAGAATTGGAAGGAAACTTATACGGAATTTACATCTAAATCTACTCAGTCAAACGCATCATAGATAAAACTGCAATGCCATTTTTTATACTGAATGAAATGTGAAGTTATGACTTTTTTTTTTTGTTATTTGTTCTGTGTTATATGCCTAAACAAAACAACCTTTATTGTATTTATGGGAGCATTTGATTTGTGTGCAAAAGTAAATATATATATTATTATCAACATGGAGTGGAGTTGTGGTTATTAACTTGTTAACTCAATAATAAATTAGCTTATATGGACACACAGGTGAGGCAATAAAACACACTTTGCTATTTCCAGTCTTTGCCATGGCTATTGGTGATGATGGCATGTTGGAAGAATCTGCATTTTCGTTTGGTACGGATACTGGCAAGCTGGAGCAGGTTGGAACGGTGATTTCATCTGAAGACATTGCCTGGGCAGATTCTTGTCTGGCCAAAGATTCTGAAGAATTGGAGGGTAGCTGGAATTCCATGAAAGAAGCCTTGCTAGAAACTCTAACTCCTGAGCGTGATGCTTCTGCTGATTCAGAAGATAATTTGGAGATGTCTTCCTCTATAAACAAAGGTAAATTGAGTGATGTAAGCAGCAGGGCTGGTGAATTGATTGAAGACGTGAATGGGGATTTCTGGTCAAGGTATGACCCAAAAGATGTGTTCCTACCAGCGTACAACGAGCGTATGAGGCAGGTTCGAAGCACTGGAAGTGCTGAGATAGTTGAGACAAATAGCGAAGATGGCGATATGATATTCAAGACGTGGGATTTGGATGTTCCTGTGGAGGAGGAGGAACTTATGCAAGAGCTGAGTAATGGTGTTTTGGAATGGGCGTGGGAGGGGAAGGTGGAGGGGGAGGGGAAGGGGTTGGAAGTTGATGATCTCATTGCTGATATAGGAGACCTCTCTCTCTGAATCTTTGACATTGGGGATTTGAAGTCAGTCAGTCAGTAGTAAGTCTCAATCTCTCTGTTTTGGTATTTGCTACTTGATATTATGAACAATCATGTCAGGTTGGGTTGGGTTGGGACCAGGACAAGTTTTATTTTAAGGTTCAAAGTTTTTATCTAAGCTAGGTAGATGGAGGAGTGACTAAGTGTCTTTCTGTCACTTTAAAAATGAATGATGTATGTTTATGGTTTGCTTTTGAATTTTGATAGACAGACACCGACTCATTCCCAATATTAATAAGGTTATTTTAGTTTTTGTTTTTTTCTTTTTTACCTTATTCATGCCACCCTTTACATCTCCGCAGACACTAGTTTGCAGTGGGTCTGAGTTCCCCTGCTGTGTGTGCAGAATGGGGCTAGTGTTTTCCTTTCTTCGTTGGCATCTATCTATCTGTCTGTATCTTTGTTACCTAGGATATAGTAGTTGCCCTGGCTGGTCCCGGGTTGGGATAGTGGCAAACGGATAAGGGATGGAGGAAGTATATCTTTATACTAATTTACTCTTTTCTGTCGTCTAAATTTATTTATATTATTGTTTTTTAGTTGTCATCTAATTTTATTTCTCATTTTATTTTTCGTAAAAATGTTATATATTTTTTTCTTACCCTAAAATAAAAATATTTTTATATTTATCTATTTTTCTTAAAAATATTTATCTATTTTTTTTTAAAAATTCGTCGGTCAATAAGTACAAATTTTTATGGCGAAAAGAGTAATATTTTAAAAATAAAAGAAGATATTAATTAATTTTAACAATAATAATATTTTTATTTAGATAGTTATATTAGTAAATTACTTAAATAAATATATTAGAATTTGGACAAGAAATTAAAATTTAAATGTTTTTTAAAAAAACACTTTAAAATTCAAGAAATTATCAGAACATCATAGAGTAGATATGTATAGGCACACAAATAATTTCTTAAAACATCATGCATAAATTATTCATTTTCTTCTTCTTTAAACTTTAATTTTTTTTGGGTACAATAGATATTAAGACTTGTAAAATCATACAATCAACTTGTCTATATTTCACATTTTCATTACAAGCAACAACAACAAATGAAAAGTTTTCACATTTCATAATTTTCATGCCCACTGCATAATGAAATTTAAACACAATAACAATAAGCAACGATATTCATCTTCACTTTCATAACATTACAATAGTTTCTTACATCTTTTATAATAAAGTTGAAGTAGAAAACAATGATAACCATCAAAACCAAATATTGAAATTTGCAGCAAGATTCAGATGTATGTCATGGTTAGTTTTTTATTAAACTTCATAATATTGGAGAGGATAACAAATGGTAACTCATTATTTACAATATATATTTATATCTAAGCCAAAAATTGGTGGAATTTATCATGTTTCTTTCCAATTAATAAGCCGGCCTTTAAAAACGAGTGAAAAAAAAAAAAACAAATATTGTGAACCACCTGTTTTAGTTTGGTTTCATCTGCTATTTCATTAGTTAGATCATATCATTCTTGGAAATGATAAAGAAAAAAGACAAATACTGAAACAAAAAATGCAATTATTTAATTTTACTACAACACTGTAAGAATGAAAACTATGTTTGTGGTAAGTTAACAAAAGCAATGAGGCGTTATTTGGTATATAGGTGTATTGTGACTCATTTATGGTCAGAAACAAAGAGACAACAAAGTCGAGGAAAAACAATTCTAGTGAAACAAAAAGAAAAGAACCACTAAGGAAAATGATTGATTACAGGTTGATTGAAAGTATTGAATCGTATAGGCGAGTCACTGTACGAAAACTCACTGCAACCATAAACTGCAGTAAGTCAATGATTTGACAATAATTAAGAATGAAGATCTTAGAGCTCATACGAGTTCCACAAAACCATCCCTAACAACTCGAAACAAATTACTATGCCTTAAAGTTTCATTTGAATCGATTGTTTGGTACATCATAAAGAAGGCAAAGAAATTTAAGATTAAATTCAAAAGTAATATTGCTTATATTGACAAAACATAGTTTTATTTGACACAAGAAACATAAATGTTATAATGAACCCCCGGTGAGGCAGAACCACTTAGAGTTGCTAAAATAAAAAATCTATTGCAAAAGTATTATTTTGCCCTATCTTTGTATTGTGTTATTTGATGGGAAGATATAAATATTTCTTTTCACACATTATGTTCTGGCTAAGAGAAAGAGCAAGAACAAACTTGGTGACACTTTGGAGACAAAAGCAATTTACTTAATCATAAAATATATCATTAAAGGTTATGTAATCAATCAATTAACACATCGATCACATAATTTAAGAAGTTTTTTAAGAAAAAAAAATTAACATAGCATGATAAAATTTTTATAAATTCTTTGAAGTACTTGAAAGTTATTCCAGTTATAAATAAAAAATGTTCTGCATGTTCTTGTCGTACAATCTATATTAATGAGGACAATGTTAAACCCTGTATTCACAATGGAGATATTTATTTCAAGCTAGCAGCAAGAAGTAATGGGTTTGATCAGCATTGGTAGTAGCCCATTTACAATGTATTTGTCGATTTTCAAGTCATTTTCCTATATCATTGTTTAAAGATATATGTAAAAAATTTCTTTAGCAGATCTAGTTCAAGAAAAATATTAATAAATATTTTATAAATTAATCTCATCAGTTGAATAATTTATGAAATCACGTGTATTATGTAAGAAAGTAGAGAATTTATATAATCGAAATTAAAAGTTTGTATAGTCGATGAGTATAACAAAATGAAGAGTAACTACTTTCTGGTCCTTGGAAAAAAAAAAAAAAAAAACTCATGTGATTGCTCTGATGTGTGTTCCAACATAACTCGTGCACCACTTTACAATGTAAATATAAAGTAAATTGTACCTTAATAATTAAACAATATGAAACTGAAAATTATAGATTAACTATTTGTAAGAGAAGCAACGTACAAACAATAAGGAAATATTGAGAATAATTCAAATATAATGGAATTATTAACCTCGAGACTTAAATCCCCGACAAAAATGATAAAATGATCTATATATATATATATAAAAAAGAATAATTTATTAGTCAAAATATTTTTCCAAAGTCACAAGTTGTGCAGCTTTTGAAATATATAAACTAAGTTCATTGAGTAAATTTATTACCACTCACTCAAAGTACCATTTTTTATTGCATCGTCCTCCATTTCTCTCAAAGCTTCAATATGTAATTAGTAACATGAGGGAAAATAAAGATAGTACAAGTTGTTTATACGAACAATTGTAACTTAGAAAATTAATCTTTTATAAAGAAGAAAAATAAAATCAAACCATTAAATTAAAATAAATAAGGGTATATAAAGTCAATTAATATAAAACCAGTTGAATTTAAAATTATCAATAATTGTAAATAATTCTCCACGCTAATATCATTAAGAAATCAATCATGGCATAAATACAATACCAACCCAATAACACTAATATTTATATTCGACATAATAGCAAAGAAAATTCTCACCGGATTTTACTTCCTTTTTTGGCAAACATGCACGGGCAATGTATCCTATACATGAGCTATATTGTTTCCCGCATTGGAACTAGCATGCCATCATAAGCCACATCAGACCAAATGTTCAATATCTAATGGTCTTCCCTTTCGTCATTAAGACCTGCTTCAAAAAGCCTTCTAGCAACCTCAACCCCATGTTCGGTGTCTCCTCAACATCTAAAGGGGCTGCACTACATAGAAAGAATTTATATTTTCATCGTGCGAGCTTGATAGTGTACGAGAATAATCAAACTCTCTCATTTGTTGTCCGAGGAAGCCATGGACACCAATTGAAATTTTAATTGATGAAAAATTGAAAATCACCAACAAAAGCAGAAAATAAAAAATAAGCGACCACAAAAAAAAAAAAAAAAACCATGTAATAAAAATCACTAATCCAAGATGAAAAATCAAATAAGTGACAACAAAAATTGCAAAGATGAAAAGATGAAAATCACTAATCGCATTAAAGATGAAAAGAGATTCTACGAATTAATAACAAATTATCGATTATCTTTGCAAGACAATACTATATACCTTTGATTATAAGGGGTTTCATCTTTGCAATATTTTTTAAAGTATAAAGAGATTTCATGCAATTTTTAAAATAAAGTGGAGATTTACGCAAAGTTTCGATACCACAGAGGGGTTTTATGCAATGTTTTTTAAAGTATAAAGGAGTGTTATGCAATTTTTAAAGTAGAGAAGAATTTACGATGAGTTTCGAAACCACAAGGGAGTTATAAGCAATTTTGCTTTAAATTTATAGTTAAAAGAGAGAAGCTATACATTCACTCACAATAAATCCAGAATTGTTCTCATTCAACTGTAATCATAGGATTTGATAATAAGTAAACGGTCAAGATCGTATGAAGGGGTGATTAAGTAATTTACATTATAATAAATAAGGTAATCATAAATTTATGCATAAACTAAGGAGATGTACATAGATGTAATATTTCTTTATTATTGTGGTTATAATAAATCCAACCTCAATCATTTTAACACCAAAAAAAAAAAAAAAAAAATTATACGCTTTCCGTTGACGTTGATCTACCTGAGAAAATATACTAGTGAATTTGGAAGTTGGAATAAGATACATCAAAATGATGTGCATTCCCTTGAGTACCAGTACTCTGCGGTCGAAGATGAAATTTAAGAAAATCATGAACGCAATAATTTTTTTTTTTTTTTGTTTTCATTTACTGCGAACATAATGTAAGACATAATTATTTTACATCATATATGTATTCATTGAACATCATATTGTAAATATGAATACAATATAAATTTATTGGTTATCCACCAAGTCGGTGGTCATGTTATGTGGTATTGAATCATAACCAAAATCGATAGACAATACAAATATTCAATAGTATGTTGTAAAGCTTTAATTCTACATTATTTATCAAATTTAATAGTTGATGAGCATAATTTGTGGGAAAAAAACACAAAACAATCGAAATTGTTTCACTGTATCGATTTTATATTTTATCGTGTGTGAGAATAAATATTACGTAAATCTTTCATGAAAACCAAATATCATATTTCACGAAGCGGTGTGATTAATAATTTTCAAAATAATTCTATTAATTAATTTAGATTTGATGTATCGAATGTACATTAGGAAGCAAAAAAGACAACTTACTCAAAACAGTTAATATTTCACATATAGAATATTTGCGATTTATTAAAAAAATATATTTTAAATCTAGTTTATTATAAAACATCATATTAGACTATTCGTATTACGATGATATTATACTTGACAATACTATATATCATTGCATTTTTTATCGGTAAACTATTACCTAAAAATTTATCACATCATATCAAAATTGATACGACCTTTATATCAAACACCGTTGTGTTGCTATTTTATACTACGTATATAAGTATAGCATACATAATTTTAGCCCGTTATCACATTTTTTGAATATTTTTTATTTGAAAAGAACTTAATTACGTATATTTAAATTTATATAGATTAATATTTCCAATTATATCATAATTAGTTAACATATTTAATTTTTTTTAATTAATTAACATTTAATTACCTCTTTTAAAAATTTCTAAAGTATCCTCAATAAATAAAAAACTATTGGATCGACATAAATTTTTTGATCAGACGAACCTGGTAGGTTCAGAATGGTCCTGAATCTCACATAAGGTCAAGAGAATACCCGCAGCAGCAAAAGATACAAGAAAAGGAAAACAATCCATCCAATGCTCAAGTACCAAAACTGTCGCCTTAAATTGAAAACTGACTCTAAGTTTAATACCAGTGTGTGCTCAGATCGAAAATTCAGCTATCATGCTACAACAACAGGGTAAGGTACTACACAAACTACCCCAGAAACATTACCTGCCCGTTCCGAATGTTGATTCCCCATACTTTGTTGCAAGAACCATTACCTCTCTCTGCCACAGTCAAAACATTCGAGCCTGCATCTACTTCTTCTTCTTTGATTTGATGGAAGCAGATTGAGTAAATGCAGTGCCCTGCACACAGACACACATTAGCCCAGATCGTTCGATCTACTGCTAAGGGATCATAGATTATAAAATGCCTGGCTAATGATACAGACCTGTAACCACTCATCCATGGATGCGTTAGTAGTCCCAGTTCCAACTTCAACCTTTGCAACCCTCTTGGTTTTCTAAGAAACATAAAAAGAACATGGTGCATCAGAGGACATGCAGCAAAATATTTTCATCTAGGTCAATGCATTTGGAAGCAATAGCAAAACCCCGTCGGATCAATTTTATAATGGCTAAGGCAATTCATAATTCAGATTCAAACACAGCACCATCGTGTAATCTGTATTCCGCGATAATTATTGATATTTTGCAGGACATGTAGATGATACCAGCAATGAGCATAATACTTTAATGCATGATGCAACTTCAGCTGCATTATCGATAAAAGAGTTGAGCAGACAACACAGATACCTTAGATAAATTTTGAACTTGTCCGCGTATCCAAAACCCAAGAAGGGTAAGAAGAGCTACGCCGAGGCAAAACAAGAAAACAGACTCAACGCTGAGCAGGCCACCTGCTTCAATAACCTCAATTGTTCCATTGTAGAATGTACTCTGATAAGTATTCTGATCAATCTCATAGACAATAGTCCCGACAAGATCAAAGGCACCAGGCTGAAATTTTCAGGGGGATAGAAGAGAAAATAAAGACGTTAAAAGTCATGGAATGAAGCTAGATACTTTGGGTATAGAATATCAAATAACTTTGATGAACTTACCTGCAAGAACTTGCTAACACCAAATATATAGGGAAAAGTTGCTTGGGCCAATGGAGGAACTGATGCATTGTTAAAACCCTAGTGAATCAAAATATCATTATCAGAGACCTACAAGATAATTATATTAGCCCCAAAACAAGAGCTTATAACACTATTCCCCATTCAAACTTTCAAGAAATATGTCTATTTTATAAAATGCAGATCTACAAACAAGGGTGGAATATCCGCAACATAAGAGGAAGCAATTCACATCTCTGTGACAGGGAAGGAAGTGATTGGCTACAATGGTATGGGAATGACTCTGAAAGAGATGTTCGCAAGAAAAAAGACTACCATATAGTTGGAATAATGCATGAGAAAGACTGAACTATGAATGATGCTCCATAACGGAATACCTATCAAACCAATTTCAGCCCAGCCTATACTGTCTCAAGTCAGCCATCAGTATATTCCAGTCAAAATGATATAAGATAGAAAATGTAGTACATCCTTTACAATATAGTTCCATTGCAATGAAGTAAGCATTCCAGCTAAGATCATTCAAATTCATGACAGGACAACATTGTTTCTCTACTCTATTCGGTTTTATTTATATAAATAAAATAAAATAAAATAAATAAGAACTCAAATGACAAGGTTTAATTGATCATACAAGCCCCTATGGCATAGTAAAAGACAAATAACAACACAAAAGCAGCCAGGCAAGGTCAGTTTATGGTATGGGATGACATAAAGTTGCACACAGATATATCTAAAATTAAAATTTCTGTATGTGCAGGCAACCTTTAAAGAAAGGTAAGAAAAAAACCTGGGCGGAAAGATTCTGAACCAAATACTTGTGATCATAAGGGAAGTGCACACTGGCCTCAATTGCAATAACTTTTATACTTGATTCTCCTAAAATAATCATCCAAGACACAAAATTTTCAAAAACCACAAACTAAATGTCAGCAGAATCATAAACATGGTTAAATAGAGCAGAAGAAGAAACATTAACTTACCCTCATTTTTTATTCCAACTAGAAGTTCACTTTCTTCCCCAGCAGTCACCACTGAAATTACCAAAAATCAAAAAGGTGTGGATTGGAGATACAGTTGAAAGAGAAACTCTTAAAACTAAACTAATAATAGCAACATATGATGGGAAAACTAAGGTATAATGCATAGTGGATGGCATTAAAGCAACAGCCAAACAGCGTTAGCTAACATTTTGAAGGGTTTTGTGGGAAAACACAAATGGTTTCCACGCCCGGTGCTGGACTATAGCTCCCTCCAATGAAATCTTGGACATCTTCTCCAACAATCCCAACTTCTCCTGTGTCCTCAGAGGAATCAACATCAGCATCAGGATCTGGTTCACAACTTGCAACTGCCAAGCCATAAAGTGTCAAATTAGTGATCTAATTTGTTATCAATCAAACTAGAACAAATGAGCTTCAATAAAAGGTACAGTTACAAAAAATTTAAAAAAAAAAAAAATGATCTAAAATTTGCTAATGAGTTAAAGAACTTTGAAAACATGGTAGCCACAGATCAATACGAATATCAGCAACAAAGTCAACAAACACTGCCCTACATAACTATAAATCATTCTAAAAGGTAGCAGCAAAAGAGAAGAAATTCATCATGCATCAATAAATTCTCTTTATCATAACAAGGTTAACTCAAACCCGCATATCCAAACCAGCATCCAAGCAAAAAAGACTAAAATCGCAGCATATAACACCACAAAACCACACAATCAAAAATAGAAAAATTCTCAAATTATAAGCACTGAACTCGAACCAAGCGTGTAAGTGCGAAACAGCCAAATAAACAAACAAAACAAAACAAAAAAACGTCGATTTGATCTGCTTCCGCGCAGGAACATATCGTAATTTTAAAAACCCATCACGATAACATAAATTAAGCATAAAATCTAAAGCTCTGTGAATCCACATGAATTGCGCCACTCAGAAAGAATAACTAAACCATATATTCAATCGCAATTGTACTTCAAATTCAGGAAACACACACTTGCAAACTAAACGGATCTGGATCTGATATACTTACATTTTGCAAACGACGCAGAAAAAACTAGCAGAGATAGGATGAACCAAACCCTAATCGTCATATTCGACTCTTTATTAGTACCGCCCCCGCAAGAGTAGAAGGAAAAATGTCCGATAAGAGCAAGAAAGAAAAAACCTCTTATAAAACGTGGACCAAATCGGTCGCAACAAGGAAAAAGTTGGGGGATTTAAATACAAATTTTAATGTTCTTGGGATCAAAGTGAAATTACTGCGGAAACGCTTGAGTCATAGCCTGGACAAAATTGTTTTTGGTTCAGCTCAAATTGAATATTTATTGTAATCCGGTTTACCATTGACTTCAAATTTGAACTCATTTCTTTTACTTCATAATTTTACGGTCATCTATAAAATAATATTCTCTATTCGAAATACAACTATTGTTATCCAATATATATAAACTAGTTTCTACACGGTGTGCTATCCACGAATTATTTTTAAATTAAATTATATAATAATATTGAAATATATGGGTATTGCGTGACCGTAAAATCGAATCGATGATTGATCCTCTTTTCGAAAATTAGATACGCTCCGATAGTGCTTCAAGTGGCTGACGTTCTAATCCAAAGATAAAACGATTTCCGTCTCGAATGAGAATGGTACATCTAATCGTCGGAGCTCCACCGAACAAAAACGAGAGAAAAAATAGGAGAATGAGGAGAGAATTGTTGATGTTAGTTTTTAGAATGAAGGGGGAGCCCTATATATAGGCGTCTCCACTCGGCTAAAATAGCAAGGGATCAATTACGATCATAATTACAACCTTAATTATCGGTGTAATTTATTCTAAATTCAAACCTTCCGTTTAAAACAGTCGTAATTGATTCTAATTACAAACTTTCCGTTTGTGACGATCGTAATTTATTCTAATTTCAAACCTTCCGTTTGAAACGATTGTAATTTATTCTAATTTCAAACCTTCCATTTGAGATTATAATAAATCTATCCAATGGATAATATTTTATCCAAATAATACTGCGACTTAGGCCATATACCCGCATTTAATTTGGGGTTGTACAATTTGATTTGTCTCGAAACAAGTAAAATAGTTAAAAATATTAACCAAACTTCATACATAATAAATAAATAATTTATTTCTTCCAAATTAATCTAATTAATTTGGTACACCGGTCCGTCACATTTTCACTCACAAAATAATCGATTGCAAAATAACCGATTATCCAACAATCCCTCACATAAGTGAAAATGCCCATAATGACAGAAACCTAGTTCAATCCCTGTGAGACATTGTCACATCATGACAAGTAGTTTTTGGCTTTGAACCTTCCATAGTCAACATTATAAAGTGTATTGGTGGCCCAATTGACGTGATGCATTGAATTGTTCCACCTCTGCGTGCACTTAGTCAATAATATTGACGTATCACTATCTCAGTCTTAAGTTTATTCTCACGTTTTGATCAATTTCAGCCATGGAACTCATCTTTGGATTCATAAGTGTTTCATTTGAAGCGGTTCACACTTCACACTTATATAGGTAATCCTATATCAAGGTATCTAACTCACACATTTAGGACCATTAAGAGTCATTGACTCAACCTCACCACTTTTGCATATTATAACACTCATTGCTTTTTAGGGAATCGTAATTGAGTGTTCATACAGGACTCTTATAGTTTAGTTTTCCCATTGAACCAAGGTTTGGGATTTCCAAGTGATTTGGTTGGGTTACCACTGTAATTGTCTCTATTTTGTGGATTTCAAACTCATTCCTTTTAGCAGTTTGTACATTTGATCTCTCTGCAACCCTTTGGTTAGCTGATCCGCTAGGTTTTCTATTGATTTTACATATTCAATAGTCAAAACCCCACTGGTGATCAAATGCCTTATAGTGTTATGTCTATGTCGGATATGTCGGGATTTACCGTTGTAAATTCCATTCTTAGACCTTGCTATTGCAGTTTGGCTATCGCAGTGAATCGTTACGGGAGGTATTGGTTTAGTCCAGTTTGGAATATCATCCATGAAGTTCCTCAGCCATTCGGCTTCTTCTCCAACTTTGTCTAAGAAGATAAACTCTGATTCCATTGTGGACCATGCAATGCATGTCTGTTTAGTGAATTTCCACGAGACAGCTCCTCCTCCAATCATAAATGCATATCCACTTGTAGACAGTGAGTCTTTTGCATCAGATATCCAATTGACATCACATTACCCTTCGAGTACCGGTGGATATTTCGCATAATGTATGCCAAAATTCAAAGTAAATTTAAGATCACTTAATATTCTTACTAGAGCTTTCCAGTGTTCATGAATGGAATTGCTAGTGTATCGACTCAGCTTGTTTACAGGGCAAGCCAGGTCAGGCCTTGTACAATTTGTTAAGTATATTAGGCTTCCAATAATTTTGTCATAGTCTTCTTGAGCTACGGGGTCTCCCATATTCTTGCTCAAGTGTATGCTGAGGTCCATTGGGGTTTTCACTAGAGTGTTTTCGTAGGCATTGAATTTTCTCAATATCTTTTCCACATAGTGAGACTGAGTCAGAACAATACCTTAGTTTTGTCTTAGAATCTTCATTCCAAAGATAACGTCGGCTAGCCCCAAATCTTTCATGTCGAAGTTACGACTCAACATGCATTTGACCTCATTGGTCAGACTGACCTCTTTAGCCATGATTAGTAGGCCGTCTACATATAGACATATTATGATAAAACTGGAAAGTGTTTCTTTGATATAGACACACTTGTCACACTCGTTTATTTTGAAACCATCTGATAACATAACATTATTAAATCTCAAGTGTCATTGTAAAGGTTCTTATTTCAGCCCGTACAAGGACTTTATCAGTTTGCACACCTTTTTCTCTTGGCCAAGAACGACATATCCTTCTTGTTGTTCCATATATACCTCTTCTTCTAATTCACCATTTAGAAAAGCAGTCTTCACATTCATTCGGTGAATCTCAAGATTGTTCAAAGATGCAATCGAAATAAGTATTCGAATGGATGTTATCCTGGTTACCGGTGAATATGTGTCGAAAAAGTCAAACCCTTCGGTTTTTCTGTAGCCCTTTACTACGAGACGGACTTTGTACTTGTCAATTAGACCCATCAGCCTTGAGTTTCTTTTTCAAAACTTATTTACACCATAGTGGTTTGCTACATTCGGGTAGGTCTGATAACACCCAAGTGTTACTATGCAGTATTGAGTCTATTTTACTATCTATTGCTTCTTTCCAAAAAAGAGCATCAGAACTAGATAGTGCTTCCTTGATTGTTGTTGGATCATTGTCTAACATATATGTAACAAAATCCGGATCAAAGGTTTTCTCGATCCTTGTCCTTTTGCTACACCTAGGCTCTGAAGCCTGATCAGGGCTATTGGTCATTTGTCATTTTACGCCACGTAGTTCTTCATCTACGGATTTTTGGTTTGACTGCATCATTTCCTTACAAGGGTAGATATTTTCAAAGAATGTGACATTCCTTGATTCTATCGTAGTTCCCTCGATCATCCCAGGGATTTCCCATTTGTGAACTATAAACGATAAGCACTACTGTTTAGTACGTATCCGATAAATATGCAATCTACCCTTTTTGGGCCGATAGCGACTTGCTTTGGAGGTGGAACTTCCACTTTTTCTAGACACCCCCACACTTTGAAATATTTGTGTGTGGATTTCTTGTCTTTCCATAGTTCGTAAGGGATGTCATCCTTACCCTTAAGTGGATCTTGTTCATAATATAATTTGCAGTCAGTACCGCCTCCCCCCATTGGTTTTGGGAAAGTCCTGAACTTATCAACAAAACATTCATCATTTCCTTAAGTATTTGATTTTTGTGTTTTGCAACGCCGTTCAATTAAGGTGAATGTGGAGCCGTTGCCTGATGAATTATGCCACTTTCGCTACATAATTCTTCGAACGGGGCCACATATTTGCCACATCTATCACTTCAAATTGTCTTGATTTTACAGTCAAGTTGATTTTCTGCCTCGGTTTTGAAGTTCTTGAAGGCCTCGATTGCTTCGCTCTATTCCATCTCTAGTTTGCACAAAATTTAAATCACACACATCGGTGTGAATTTACTCTAATGGCTTAGTCTTCCTTTCGATAGACGAGAAGGGTAATTTTGCCATTTTGGTCTCCACGCAAACTTCACATTTCTTTTGAATGTTCACCTCTTCTATATTTAGTAAATTCATATTAACTAATCTTTTTATAGCATTTAGGTTTACATTACCTAATCTACAATGTCATAAATCAGAACACTCAATCAAGTACGAAGAAGAAGCAGCATTTTTATTATCAGTAGGTGGTGCTCAGCGCACGGCCATTACATTTAATTTGAACAACCCATTTGTAAGATAGCCCATAGCTATGAACATCTCATTTTTCGATAATATAAATTTATCTGTTACAAAGACAAGTTTAAAACCATGCCTAACTAGTAGCGATCCTGAGACGAGAATTTTCTTATGTCTGGCACATACAGGACATCTTTTTAGGGTTAGTTCTTTGCTGAAGGTCATCTTCAGCACCACGTTCCGTACGCCTTGGACCTCAGAAGTTGCGTGATTTCCCATGTGCAGCTTCCTCCCTTCGGTCTCCATGTAGGTCAAGAAGTTTCTTTTGTCGGAGCAAACATGGCAGGTTGCTCCAGTGTTAATATACCAAGCTCTTGGACTTTCCACATTATTTGTTTCGTACACAACAGCGACAAGGTCGTCACTATTAAGATCACGATCAGTCCGGTGGCTCATCTCGATCAGTTGGGAACTCGGATTCTTCTTTTATCAGTTTGCACACCTTTTTCTCTTGGCCAAGAACGACATATCCTTCTTGTTGTTCCATATATACCTCTTCTTCTAATTCACCATTTAGAAAAGCAGTCTTCACATTCATTCGGTGAATCTCAAGATTGTTCAAAGATGCAATCGAAATAAGTATTCGAATGGATGTTATCCTGGTTACCGGTGAATATGTGTCGAAAAAGTCAAACCCTTCGGTTTTTCTGTAGCCCTTTACTACGAGACGGACTTTGTACTTGTCAATTAGACCCATCAGCCTTGAGTTTCTTTTTCAAAACTTATTTACACCATAGTGGTTTGCTACATTCGGGTAGGTCTGATAACACCCAAGTGTTACTATGCAGTATTGAGTCTATTTTACTATCTATTGCTTC